AAGGATTGCTCCATATGTGCTAAGAGGCACCCGTGGAGACTGCCAGCAGAAGGTGGACATATCAGACAGAGCCATGAGCCACTGTCCCACTGGCAAGTAGACTATATCAGCTTTCTTCCCATGTTAGAAGAGGCCCAGTTCGTCCTCACTTGTGTTAACACTACTACAGTATTACTGCAGGCCTTCTCTAACAAATGAGCTACACAGCGCTCAACCAACAAAGGATTATCACAGCTCCTTGCAGCATACGGCACCCCTGAATCACTGAAAGCAATCAGGGAACCCACCTTAGTAGACATCAAGTGCAAGCATGGGCTGAGCAGCTGCATACTGACTGTCAATTTCACCTACCCTATAATTCCATGGGTGACAGTCTAATAGAAAGACACAATGGCATGCTAACGAATGCTTTAAAGAAAGATCAATACTCATTGCAGAGGTGGACGACCTGACTGCATGAAGCAATCTGCACTCTCAACAAGAGATCCTGGGCTGGCCATCCAGCACCCCTAGACATGCTGACACAACTGTGGGCAATACCCCTGAAGATGCAAGAATCATCATTGTGACCAGCTAAGGAAGCAAGAATAACCTGTTCTTGCCCCACAAGACATAGAACCCAGAAAGAATACTCCACTGACCACGGGAAGTTCAATCTGAACCCCATTGGTACTCCTTGCTTACCCCCTAGGGAGAAGGGAGAGATCATAATTTAGATATTCACCCAGTGATTATGGGGAAATGGACAAATACTGTTTTTGTCTTTTGGTTTTTTTTGAGTTGGAGTCTCACTCTGTCACCCAGACTGGAGTGCAGTAGCCGCTCCCGGCCACCGCAGCCTCGACCTGCTGGGCTCCGGCGATCCTTCCTCCTCAGCCTTCCGAGTAGCCAGAATTACAGGCATGTGCTACAATGCCCGGCTGATTTTTTGATTTGTTGTAGAGATGAGGTCTTGCTGCCCAGGTGGGTCTCGAACCCACGGGCTCAGGCAATCCACTCACCTCAGCCTCCCAAAGGCGCGGGATTACAGGCTGAGCCACCGAGCCCGGCTTGACAAATACTGTTAAGTGTAATAATCCCGGGTCTCAAATTCTCAAAAGGGAGACTATTATCATTTCACCATGGAAAATGAAACTGGTCAATTAGAGTGGAATGCTTCCTATCCAAGGGGCTCATCTTGGAATACTCAACAGGGCCTTAGTGGATACAATGACACCAAGAAATATGTTCTCTTTGGTGAGGAAATATACTGGTCATATTTGGTATGGAATGGGCAAGGATGGCTAACAGCTATACAGACAGAGATCAGAAACCATGCGCTACTATACATTAAGCACCTTACTTGCATCATTAATGAAATCACCCAGGAAGTAAGTGGGACCCCCTGAGCACCTGTGTCATACTTAAAACAGGATGCTGTATATACATTCCTGACAATAATTTATAACGTGTCCATGGCCCTTATGGCCCTGAATACTGAAATCAATGCTGTTTCTAAAATCGCTGAAGACTCCTTTTCCAAGTGGTTTGGATCACTAAACTCTTTTTGGCAAAAAGTAATCATAGGTATTATAATCATTGTAGCAATTTTGCTGTTCAGATCCTGTGCTCTTTATTGCATATGCGGAATATAGATGCAACGTTTGACTTGTATATCTACCTCAGGGAACTTGTAGATCAATGCTATCGAAGATTGTCAGAGTGGAAGAAGTCAATGTAGGGGTGAAGTATGGGGTACTGTCTGGACATGGACTGCTTCCCCCAGTACAAGCTTTTTTCTGCCCCCTCCAGGCTGGTCTCTGAAGGGTATGTATATTCCCAGTAATGAATCATGGGATGCAGGTGATCAAGCAAAGCTAAATATAATGTAGTCATCACTTTTGATCAATGTAACTATACACACCATATAGTAATTTGAATAATTAACTTGCTTGCTTTAATTATCACACTGCTTGCTATACTGCCCTGAGGTGCTGATTTTTCACCAACGTGCTGCCATTGGTGCCTCCCATAAGCTCTAATAAACCAATGTCTTTCCTTGCTGGACCTCCAGGTGGCTTCTTTGGAATAGGTAAACATGATGTACAAGAGTCCTCACAGATTTGGGGTGACAGTGTTACAAAGAACTTTAAAAAATAGTACTTTAACAACAATAAAAACATACAAAAGAGAAATTCAACCCTTTATTTCTTTTAAAATATATTTTTAAAGTCCTAATTAATTGCAGTGTTTTAAACATCAGTAAAGAATTGTTGTTTTTCAATATTTCCCATATCTCAAACAAGTATTGAGGAATGTTTTAGAATGGATTATACTATATAATTGATTTCAAAAGTAATAATTAAAGTAAAGAGTAATTCTATTATCAATTTCTCATTTTACATCATTTATAGTACTATTTATCCCCTTCTAATCAATAAGTAGGAAAAAAACAGCTACTCATATATTAGGGGTGACTATCAATAAGCTTATGTAAAGTACTAATATCAGCAGTTATTTATACACATTTATCATTAAAGTGCCTTTTTGTGCACCAGTGTAATTTCATAAGTGAGATATTCCCGAAATGCAAGGATAGTTTAACATCAGAACAACAACCAATGCAATATGCTATATGCAATATGCTACATTAATAAATGAGAAGACAAAAATCACATTATCGTTTCAACAGAAGCATAAAGAACATTTGACAAAATTCAATACCTCTTCATAATAATAATACTCAACAAACTAGAAATAAAAGTGAACTTCCTCAAACTGACAAAGAACATCTATGAAAAATCAACAGTTAACATAATAGTTTATGGTAAAACCCTAAATATTTTCCCCTAAAATCAAGAACCTTGACTTCTAACTCATAACAGATTTTTTAAAATTCACTCAAACTGGATTACAGACCTAAATGTAAATAAAATGATAAAAACTTAAAATAAAACATGAGAAAATGTTTCTACTCTTTAGTAGGTAAACAATAGCACATGAAAAGCATAATGATAATAGGAAAAAACTGATAAATTTAAATTCATAAAAATTAAATTCCTCTGTTCTTCAAAAACCATATTAAGAAAACAGAAACCAAGAAACACACTTGGGACAGATATCTGTAAATCATACATCTGACAAAAGAGTTATTTCCAGATTATATAAAGAAATCTCATAACCCAATAAGAAAATAAACTCAACCAAAAAAAATGGACAATAGATTTGAAAACACACTTCACAAAGAAGATACAAAATAGCCAACAGCAATGAAAAGATTCTCAGCATTTCTAGTCAATAAAATAATGCAAATTAAAACCACAATAAGATACTGCTACACAGTCATTTAAATGTCTAATATTAAAAAGACTGACAGTACCAGGTAACAATAAAGATACAGAGCAAGTAGAAATTTCATACCCTACTTGTGAAAATGAAAAATTGTACAATTAACTTGAAAAAGAGTTTGGCAGCCGGGCTTGGTGGCTCAGCCTTTAATTCCAGCACTTTGGGAGGCTGAGGTGAGTGGATTGCCTGAGCCCGCGGGTTCGAGACCCGCCCGGGCTGCAAGACTTCATCTCTACAATAAATCAAAAAATCAGCCGGGCGTGGTAGCGCACGCCTGTAATTCCAGTTACTTGGAAGGCTGAGGCGGAAGGATCGCCGGAGCCCAACAGGTCGAGGCTGCAGTGGCCAGAAACGGCCACTGCACACCAGTCTGGGTGACAGAATGAGACTCCAACTCAAAAAAAAAAAAGAAAAAGAGTTTGGCGATTTCAGTTACTGTACTTCTTGGAAATTATTCTTAGATATTTATAAAAGAAGAACATATGTCCACACAAAGATGTGTATACCAATGCTCATAGCAGCTTATTCAAAAGCACCAAGAACTGGAAACAACAGATGAATGGATTAAAAAATGGTACTATATTTGTAAAATGGAAGACTATTTAGAAATAAGAAGGAAAGAACAAGCATACAAGTATACTGTTTTATATTAATAAAACAACATAATGAATCTTAAAACATGCTAACAAAAAGAAACAAAACTCACAGGAGGACATATTACATTATTCTACTTACATAAAACCTTAAGAAAAACAAATCTAACCTATAGTAACAAAAAACAGATCAGTGATTGCCTGTCAAGAAGAATGTGGTGATGTTAGAAAAAAGGAAGGAATTGCCTGGGAAGGAGCACAATGAAATCCTTTGTGGTGATCAAACATTCTGTTTATTGATTGTTGTGACAGTTACACTTTTGTCAAAATTAATTGAAACATATCAGTTTATATTGCCTGTCAATGGTATATAAATCAAATATAAGTTGATTTTATTTTCGAGAAACATAGATGTTAAATTTCTTCTTGAAACTAAACTTGAGACTATCAATGGCTGAACCCAGAAGTTCCCTAACTTTTTGGTTCATTGCACTCCTGGCATCTCAGTAATTTTTTTCATGGAACTCTTTGCCAAAATAGTGAACATTTCTTATTAAATAACTTATTAAATAACTTGGTCTAAACAACTTCATATCCTAACAGCTTAGTAACTATTTGTAAAACTACTGTATAAGTTGAAAGAAAAATTAACATTTCTTCATTATTATATTAGTAGATTATTTATTAATGGGATATTTATGCAAATTATCGAGCCTTAGAATCAGACTGCAAAACATCATCCTCATTTCCAGTTGCACATTTTCACAGGGTACTTACTTTTTATCACAGAAACTATCAAAAACTTATCTATGCAAAAATATGACACCATCAAAAGAAATGTAGCATGAACCAAAGTTGAAACTTGAGCTACAAGTTTGTGCAGTGTCCTACATAGGTCAAGTATATAACTGTGCTTCTCTCAAAAATTTAAAGTACCTTCATACCATGATGACTTCCCTGTGTACTCCTGGTTACCTAGACATACAGTTTGGTGACTCAAGATAAATCTCCCCATGCATAACACCCCTTCAAATCAAGCTCAACTAACATTGGATAAGCAGTAAATAATAAGGAAAGTACCTTGTATCCAAGGCCCAACTGATAAATAGCAAAAATCTGAGCTGCATTAAGAGCTTCACTAAAAAGGTAAACTGCAGTCATCTGACCACAGAATACTCTATTAGCATCTGCTGTTTCTGATGAGCCCAGGAAACATTTGTCAAAGGTCTGTAAACAAAAATAGAAGATATTTTTAGAGAAAAAAAACCAAAAAATCATATACTCCAGAAATAATAAAAACCTCTATTGGTATACATGTCTTGTCCATTCTAAACTATAATTCAACTGAATAAAATTACTCATTCAGCATTTCACTTCATTCATTCCCTATTGAAAGGAGGTCAGGAAAGACATCATGGAAAAAGAAATAATACAGGTTCTGTAAAGTACAATAAACAAAACTTGATGACAAAATGGTGGTTAAAAGCAGTTAGAAATCATTTTGGCTGGAAGGTTCATAGTTTGGTAGTCAAAACTCCAGAGAGAAAAGCAGGCGTTAGAGCAAAAAGGAAAATAATGAGTCAGATTTGGGACATACTAAATCAGCCTTTTGTGAGCTGATACAGATGGAGTTATTATAGATGGAGAAACAATTGTCAGCCAGGTTCTAAGTTTGGCAAGAAGTTAAAGCTGGAAAGACAAATTTTTGCAGACATAAACATACAGATAACAGGTGAAGTCATAGAGGTAGACACAAATCTCTCAAAAGGAATATGTAAATCCAGAAAACCAGGCATTCTTACATTTAAAAAAATCCTGTCAAGAACACCCATATTGTAAAGCCCACATTTTAAAAATGCACATGAACAACAAAAAGGGAAGCAAGAAAAGTTATTCATGTCCTTTCAAAAGCATCGTTTTGTACTGTGAAACCATTATAAGAAAAGTTGAAAATATGTATGTAATGACACTAGGAAATACAGAAAATGTGCAAACACTTGTGCTCTCAAGCCAAACCTCCTAGATCAAATCCCTGCTTCCTATGCTAATAAGTGTGGCACGTTCCTTAACCTCTCTCTCTGTATCTCTCCTTATCTGTACAATGGAGATTATAATAGTGCTTATCTAGCAAGGTTGCTTGGAATTTTAAAAAATCAAGTTCTTTATTACAATGTCTGGAATACAGGAGGTACTCAGTAAAAGTTAATGTAAGGAAAAAACAGGTTATAAAATAATGTACATACAGAAGCCCCTTGTATTAAAAAAAGACGTACTCATTTTTTGAGCACTCATTCTGTAAAAGGCAATCTGTTAATAGATTTATAAACATTATCTCATTTAATCATCACAACAAATTTCTGAGGTATAAACTATCTTATGCCCATTTTCAGGTAAGTCCTAATGGATTAAATAAGGTAATACAGTCAATAAATGACCAAGCTGGGATTCAAATCTAAGTCTGTCTGATCCAACACCCTGAGCTCTTAGGGTACACATGACAAAGGATATGAAAGAAGGAGTTAATGGTGAATGGACTGTATAGTTTCTGTTCATTTTCCTGGTCTGTACTTTTCAAGCTATAAAAATATCATTAGAGGAAGCATAAGAAAATTTTAAATTTCATTCTAACCTGTGGATCTCTTTTTGAATCCTGAAAACATTATGATATAAAAGTTATCTGTAGCAGCTAGAGTTATCTGCAAAATGCGTAAGTATGCATCATCTAACTCTTTCATAAAAATGATCAGAACCCTGGAGTAGAGCTCCTATTTAGTTAGATAAATTGACCAAGGACCAAACACTGTCAAGATAGAGCCACTGTTACTTACAAATCCTTATCTCTACCTAACCAGAATAATTTTATAACATGGATTGACTAAAATCTTAGTGACACATTAAATTCTATTAATAAATTAACACGCCAGCCAAATTATGATCATAAAATTCCATCACTGTGGTATTCCAAAATGTATATTCAAGTTCTAAAACTTTTTCTTCTTTAAAAAGTTTATATTTTTAAAATAATTGTTTTTTATTACAACATTTTGAAACTACTTACATCACTGGTGTTGACAAACCATGTTATCTCTCCATAGGAAGCTAGCTCACCATTCACATAACATCGCAGCTCACTGTTCTTCCATCGGTTATAAATGTGTACTATGGTTACCATATACCACTGAAGAAGCAAAAAACAGCAAGAAATATAATGATAATAATTAACCCAATGGCACAATCATATTGACAAGTATATAGTATATGGTCAAGTTGTAATTAAACTTGAAAATAAAATAAGAATACCTTTGTTAAATTCAATATTTAGCTTCCAGAACAATATCTATTCATAGGGGCTCTCTACTGATGAGAACTTAATCACCAAATGGTTTTTCAAGCTTTTTATTATAGAAATTTTCAAATATACCCCCCAAAACTTGAAGATCTAGTACAAACATGCTCTTTTCCACTATCTACATTCTACAGTTGTCAACATTTTGCCACATATGCTTAATCTACATGACTCTCTTTCTACACATTTTGTTAATGATTCACTTATTATTCTCTAAGTTTTAAAGTACGAAAGCGAACACAGGCTAGGTACGGTGACTCACACCTGTAATCCCAGCACTTTGAGAGGCAAAGGCCTGAGCCCAGGAGTTCATGAACAGCCTGGGCAACACAGTAAGACCACGTCTCTATAATAAATCAGAAAAATCAGTCGGGCTTGGTGGCGTGCACCTGTAGTTCCAGCTTCTTGGAAGGCTGAGGAAGAAGAATTGGAAGGATGTGGAGGAAGCCCAGCAGGTCAATGCTGTGGTGGCCATGAGCATGCCACTGCACTCCAGCCTGGGCAACAGGGTAAGACTCCAACTCAAAAACAAAACAAAACCAAAACAAATACATATCACATTTGCACAACTATAAGAATTTTGCCACAGATATTTTCTCCTTATACTTTCCTTAGCTCTATAAATAAATCTTTTTAAAGCCCAAGTCAAAGGGGTTAAAAGTTATCCAGTGATTTTTCTGAAATAGTATATAAACAGAGTTGCAATTTAGCACATTATGTGCATGGCATTAAAACAAAGTATTTTGAAGACTAGCCAAGCGTGTTAACAGAACTGTGACTCAGTAAGATTGTGTACCTTTTGTGGCTTGAAATCAAATTTCACACAGTGTTGAAAGCCTTTTCCTTTCGACTTTATCGATGTTATAATCAAACAGCCTCCAACAAAATGAGCAGAATAACCAAGGCCTTTGCTGGTTCTGAAACTATAAAGGATAAATTTTAATTTTACCTCTAAATATTCTTCTCATTTTCAAAGTAAGGTTTTAACACTAATCAGATACAAAAATACATACCAATACAAATATGGTTTATCCTTATCTACATTGATGTTATTTACAGGATCAATCCTGAGCCACGTATGAAATGTAAAGCCATTCTGGTATGGCCATTTGGCTATAGGAGGTAATGCAATAGCCTAAAGGAAAGAAACTTTATTATTGAAATCATGAAAATGAGAGTTTACAATGCTATATGTGCGTGTGTGTGTGTACAACATCATATTACTTTATGTCATGATTAAAATATCAGAAAGAAGAGTCTTTATCTTGAAGAAGACCTTTCATAACTTTTAAATTTTCCCAAAAACATAGTAACGACGTTAATTAAACGTTCAGTGTAACCTGCTGAACACATGAATCTTGTCTGCTTCATTTCTTACAAAGAACACATCCAAGGAGATTCTAATTAAAAGAGATAGGTTGTGATATCAAAGTGAAAACTTGTTGCTGAAATTTTTAAGACATTAGAACAGAGAAGATGGACAAGAACAGAAAGATAAAAGTCAGAGAAAAAGCTTGCTATATTTGCTTTTTTTAAAACCTCAAATATGAAACTAAGAAGATCCAGTCATATCATTTTTTAACTGTATTCAGAAGTCACTATAAAATGGCTTTACCACTTGGTTTAATTTTTTATTTAAAAGACTATACTATTTAATTTTGATGGAAGGGATTGTGAATAGCAAAAATAATCTTGAAAAAGAAGAGCAAGATTGGAGGACTCATACCACAAAGTCAAAACCTACTACAAAGCTACAGTCATAAAGACTATGTGGTACTGGAATAAGGTCTTTGTGCCCTTTGGCTAGGCAAATCCTTCTTAATTACGCCACCAAAAGCATAAGTAACAAAAGAAATATATATATATTCTATATATATAGAATATATATATATTCATACTGGAATTTATTAAAATTTAAAACTGCACTTTGAAGGATACCACCAAAAAAGTAAAAAGATAAGCCACTAGAATGGAAGTAAGCATTTGCAAACTGAATATCTATAAAAGACTTGTATCGAAAATACATAAAGTACTCTTACAGCTCAAAAATAAAAAGACAAGCGGGCTCGGTGGCTCAGCCTGTAATCCCGCACCTTGGGAGGCTGAGGTGAGTGGATTGCCGAGCCCGCGGGTTTGAGACCCGCCTGGGCAACTTGGTGAGACCTCATCTCTACAATAAATCAAAAAAATTAGCCGGGTGTGGTAGCACGCGCCTGTAGTTCCAGCTACTTGGAAGGCTGAGAAGGAAGGATCACAGGTCGAGGCTGCGGTGGTTGGGAGCGGCCACTGCACTCCAGTCTGGGCGACAGAGTGAGACTCCAGCTCAAAAAAAAAAAATAAAAAATAAAAAGACAAATGCAATGCTAAAATGGACAACAGATCTGAACAGACACATCTTCAAACAAGATATACAAACAGCCAATAAGAGCATGAAAAAAGTCTTAACATCATTAGTCATGAAAGAAATGCAAATCAAAATCATAATGAAATACCATTTCATACCCACTAGAATGGCTAACATCAAAAGGACAAGATATTAGTCAGTTTTAGCCAAGATGTGGGGAAACTGGAGCCCTCATACATTTAAGGAAAGGAAGTCACTGAATACTTTGAGCACCTATTCTCTTCAAAGGCTGTTCAAAAGGATTTGCTTAACCAAAGGATACCTTTTTTTTTAATATTATAGGCAAACGATAGACTCAAGGACAAGAAAGTAAAGTTATTCCAGAGAGCTTCAAATCTAAAATGCCTTTTAAGGAAAAACTGTAATGAAAAAAAATGAGCAACAAAGCTTTTCAAAGTAAGTTGTGTATTGTGTATGTAATATGCAAATATCACAAACATCCTATTAAAACATTTTTATCTTTCTGCAAATATTACCTGGCTATACAGGACCTAAAAAACATATAAAAGTTTATGAGACCCAAAGTAAAAATTGAATGAAAGATATCCTTAAAAATTTTTTTTGCTTGTAACAATCTGACCAAGGTAATAATGAGATTTTAAAACTTTCATAAACAACATATATATATTACATAATGTGTTCCTATGACATTTGAAACATTACAGATATCACTACTATACATAATTGCCTTATTTATCAACTGAATAGCAGCTTACAAAATTGCTAAGACCAACATAATTTGGAAATTCACAAGACAGGAAAAACTGCCTAGTAAGTTTCAAAGAGTTACTAGCATTCTATAAATCAGGTGCAAAAGAAGCACAGGTAGGGAAATGAAAGGTTAAAGAAAGATGTTCAGCAAGACAGACATGAAGGTGTTACACACAAACAGCTACTTAAGAATGCAGTCATATATCACAGGACAACATGGCTATGTTTAAAAGAATTCAGTTCTTAGTCCATTGCTGACTCAAGCTGTGACTGACTGGGCACTTTCTCAACTACTTTGAACCTCTATTTCTTTACCTATAAAGCAGTTTTTAAAAAATAACATGCACAATTGTAAGGATTAAGGCAGCTCATACAGCTTTTACCAAACACAGAACCTGTCAGGGGTGTTCACAGGGCTATACTTTTCAGGAAGCAAAGGAAGAACAACTCCAAGTGATTAGCTCATTAATAGTTACTTACTGCAGCACTCTTCCCTGGGAAGTTGAAAAAGGCATCAGGACCATACTTCTGAGGCATATGCTTTAACACAGACAGCAATTTCCCAGCATGTGGAGGCTATGAAGATAATTAACAACTCATTAACCACATAATTCACCATAAAACAGAAAGTACATATGTTAATACAGTCATGCTTTAATATATACAAGAATAACCAAATAAGGCTATAAGTTCAAAAGCATGTAAAATAATAAAAAAAGTATTTTCAAATATTTTAAAGAAAAAATATACTCTGTGCCATTTTTTGTAGCGTGGTAAGACATATTAGGTGTTCAGTAAATAAGAGTCAGTATCACCTGACACTTGAAACTCTTCTTCTCCACACTGCAGCGAAAATGATCTTTTAAAAATAAAAACTACATCAACCCACCACCCACCCTTCTTTAAAATTAAAACACTTTTTAATTTAACAAATACTTAATGCTTACTGTGAGTCACTAGTAAAGGTACTTTAGAAACATTAACACATTTTAACCTCAAAACCACTCTATGGGATATATTATTATTATTATCCCACTTTATAGTGGAGGAATATGAAGCATAGGAACATTCCCAAGGTCACACAGGTAATAACCAGCAAGGTCAGGATCAGAATTCAGCCAACTCGCACCCATGCTTTTAACCACTATAAATTTGCCCAATTTATGATAGAAGTATGTCCTGATAAACTCATAAGTACGTTTTCCAGTCAGGATACTTTTAACTTATGATAGGTTTATCTAGAGGTAGCCCCATCCTAAATCAAGGAGGATCACATCGCTGAATGCACATCACTTTCACACCATCATAAAGCCAAAAAATCCTGTCTGTGCTTTCACCAATAAAATAGGGACCAAAATCCTTAACATGGCCTACAAGATACTTGGTCTACCTCTTTAGCCTCACTGAGCATCTCACTCTCCCCTTCTCCCTACATTCCACCCACAATGCCTTCTCTCAGTCTTCCCAGAAGAAGTCCTGGGCAAAAGTTATTCCTTATGTTAAAATGTTCTCCTCTCCTCTTAGTCAAGTAAATCTTATCCATCCTTTAGAGTCCATCTTTACAGTTACTTCCTCAGGGCAGTCCTCCTTGAACTGAGAGTAGATTAAACTTCCCTATCATATTGCATTCTACAATATACCTCTACTGCATAGCATGTATAAGAGCTGTAATATTATGTTTATTTGATTAATGTTTCTTTGGCTCACAAATCTAATACATAAAACAACTAACAAATAACACAAAAATCTCATCTACATGTAAAAGGAAAAGCCAAGAACAATCAGAATACTTTATGATTTTAATTGGTTTATAAGCAAAAAAGAAAAGTATAGAAACTTTCTCTTTGCTAAAAGTTTAAAAGTTCAAAACTGGGTCAAACAACAAATGAAATTGTTGGTTTGCCTTTATCTTATTTTGATAACTGCTATAAGTTATCATTCATAATTATGTAAAAGAGCTTGGCAAACTTTTACCTAAATATTAAGTGGAAAGCTTCATTCTTAAGTGATCGAGAAATTTTCAATTAACCACATTGCTCAATTATAAAAGTATAATAACAAGTAGCTACAATCACATTTTTAAAAAATAAATTTCAAAGTGAAATAAAATAATCAAAACTAACTCAGTCAAAAAAATACATTATAGTAGCAATTTCATGAAGAAACATTATTCCTCCAAATATCTTTTTAATAAACCAATCAGCTGGGCTCGGTGACTCAACCTGTAATCCCGCGCCTTTGGGAGGCTGAGGTGAGTGGATTGCCTGAGCCCGCGGGTTCGAGACCCGCCTGGGCAGCGAGACCTCATCTCTACAATAAATCAAAAAATCAGCCGGGCGTGGTAGTGCATTCCTGTAATTCCGGCTACTTGGAAGGCTGAGGCGGAAGGATCACCGGAGCCCAGCAGGTCGAGGCTGCGGTGGCCGGGAGCGGTCACTGCACTCCAGTCTGGGCGACAGAGTGAGACACCAACTCAAAAAAATAAAAAATAAAAAAAATAAACCAATCAACAGAAGAATATGTTCACATAAGCACTTTACTGACAGATGCTGCTGGCAGAGTATATATTGTTCTGGGAAAGCCTTTCAAAAAAAATTTAAGGCATATCTCAAGAGACTTTAAAAATGTTCATGTCCATTGATGCTCTATTTCCACATATAAAAATCTATGTTCTAAAGTAATAATGACAAAGGCACATACAGATTTAGACACAGGGCTTTTTCGCTACACTGCCATGACAGCAACAGATGGAAATTAACTGAATGCTTAATGATAAATAACAAAACTACTGTAATGGATGCTTGAGTAAGGCCTTGCTCTTGTTTTATTAGTAATTCATTATTTTTTTTTCCTTTATCCTCTAAACCTATTCTCATTCTCCCCCCACACCCATAAGCAACTATTTCAAGTTTAATCTTTGTATACGTGTTCCTTCATAAATATTTCTTTGTGCTTATACTTCTTATTTAAATGGTGTTAGGTTAGATATGTCATTGTTTATTATTTTCTTCCTATGTTTTATTCATCTATTCCTATTACTCTATGAATTGATTCTATACAATAATCTATTCTGTGCATCCTATCCATTTTACACATCACTCCCTTAATGATGAGCACCCATGCCAACAACTCACTGCCATCAAAAATAATGCTTCAGTGAATATCCTCATGTATATTTTCTTGGGAACAGTGGGAGAATTTCTTGGAATATGCACATAGGAGTGAATTATTAAGTCACTGGATTTGGGTATAATTTATGTGACTAAGTAGCAATAGACTCCTATTGAGGTTGCCTCTACTAGTGCCCATTCCAACCAAACGCACACAAGGTATAAAACATCCCTGTCTCCCTAACCATACGTATCATCATCCAACTCCAAATTCTTGAAATGCTACACATAAGGTGAAATATCAATATTGCTTTAATGTTAAAGTCTCTAATTACTAATGATTTTGTGTTTATTTGGTTGTAGAGTTTCTGCCACTGTAAATAAATATATCTTCATAGTCTTTCCTATTTTCTGACACATAATTTTCTATATTCATGAATAAAAATACACTAACTATGTATTCAGAATAAATAAGTTACTTGAATAAAAAGCAAAAGCAAAATCAAACAAGTATAGTTTTATTTCTGGACATGACATAGTAACAGGACCTGGATTTACCAGCCCATCACAAATAACTAGGAAACAGGACAAAACGTATGAAACAAAAACTGTTCTCAGATACAGAGGAAGAGGTAGCTCAATACTACATCCCTGAGAAAGGTAAACAAAGTAACTTTCAATCTGGAGTTAATTCCATATCACTGTACAAATAAAGGGAAAACAAACAGAACTTGAAGGTCTCACTGAGTTGCAGAGACAGAAATCGAGCACGGTGAGTCAGAGGTGGATAGAAGTTTCAGGGCAGAGTACTGCAGAAAACGAGCTATACAGAGAAGCAGCTCCAGGAATCTGCACTGGCTCTTTGGCTCAATACCAAACTGTTCATGCTTATGATAAACCTCAAAAAGGAGAGGCCAAGGTGCTAAGAGCTGTAAATTAAAGAATTCCCAGAACTACTACAGAGCAAGGAATTGTCTGAGACCCTACTAGATACTATGGAGAAATCATAGACTTGTGCTACCTCTTGCCCCATGTCTGAGACTGAGTCATTCAACAGAGACCCTGGAAGAGTCATGCCTGAATAATAAGGTTAAACTAGCCCTAGAGTGATAACCAATCTAAACCTGACTGGAAAACACCTTAAACTAGCCTTAAAGGATAAGGTTGATCCACAAATAATTTATCTGCCTGCAAAACCTGTCTAATAATCTTAAAAGAAATATGACAAAAATCCAGCACTAAACAACCATGTTTAAAGTCAGTAGTCAGAAGTAGGAAAACATTTCCTATAAGTAGCAACAAAATCAATGAGTAAAAAACCAACTTAGAAAATGACAGAGATTATATAGAATTAGTAGACAAGAGCATTAAACCAACGGTGCTTTTTTACATTTTGTCCAAGGATTTAAAAGGAAAAATATGAACATCATGAGAAAAAAATGAAAGTTATTAAAAAAGAACCAAATAGGATTACAGAGGGGGAAAAAATACACTTTCTGAAATTTTCAGTGGATGGAATTAACACACTGCAGAAGAAAAGATTAGTCAATTTGAGACTACAGGAAAAAAGCAATCTAGTCGCAGCTTATGCCTGTAATCCCAGCACTTTGGGAGGCCAGGTAAAATGACTGCTTGAGCCTAGGAATTCTAGACCAGCCCACAAAACATAGTAAGACCTCATCTCGATAAATGAAAGAACGATAGAGAGAAATGAAGAACAAAGAGAAAAAACTAAAAAGAAAAAAGTGAACAGCTTTCAGTGACTTGTGGGATAATATCAAGTACCAGAAAAGAAGAGAAAGGAGGACAAGAAAATATTTGAAGATATAATGAACCAAAGTCTTCTAAATTTGATGACAATTATAAACTCACAGATGAAAGGACTCTAATAAGGATAAATACAAGGTAAGTCACACCCAGATACAATAAAATTCTGTGAAATTCAGTTATAAAAATCTTAAAAAGGAAGGCCGGGTATGGTGGCTCACGCCTATAATCCGAGCACTTTGGGAGGCTGAGGTGAGAGGATTGCCTGAGCCCATGGGTTCAAGGCCAGCCTGAACAACTTGGTGAGATGTTATCTCTTCAATAAATCAAAAAAATTAGCTGGGTGTGGTGGCATGTGCCTGTAGTTCCAGTTACCTGGAAGGCTGAGGCAGAAGAAATACCTGAGCCCAGCAGGTCGAGGCTGCGGTGACGGTGAGCATGCCACTGTACTCCAGCCTGAGCAACAGAATAAGAGTACTACTCAAAAAAAAAAGAAAGAAAGAAAAGCAGCCAGAGAACTGGAGTTTGATACAAATAAACTAAGGAATCTAAGTTTTAACAAGTAGATAAGAGAAATTGCAGGGCACAAATTTAGACATAGTTCATCAAATCTAGATTAAGGATCAGCTGGCTGAGAACGTATCAGTAATGATCTGTGAAGGGCACTAAAATAAGCCTGGAAATGCAAGAAAAATGGGG